AGGTGTATCTGCAGTGACCACTGTGACCAGACACAGTGAAAATGGGAGAAAATGGGGCAGAGCAGAGCAGGGAGAAGCTGAATCCAGAACTTATTTCCCTACCCCTGTAGAGGGAGAAGCAGTGGAGGTGAAACAGCTTGATGGGCTCAGCCAACCAGAAAATGTCAGAAGAGGCATCTCTGTGGCTGAGAAAGGAGATGCTAGAACCACTTGGAAAGGAGGTGGGAGAATTGTCAGGACCGACATGTACCAGAAAGCCCCAGCCTATGTAGGAATGGGAATAAGGGGAGGGAAACTAAAATCACTTTCCTTTTAATGGGGTTGTTGGGAAATATGGCATTGAAGATGATCCTTGAGTATTTTTTATTTTGTAGTGATTTTTCTGAATGGATAATTTTCTTCATAATTTCATGTTGATTCTTAGCTTCATGTAAGAATTTGATTGTTACCAAGTGATATTATATTTACCCTTTCATACCATTGAAAATTCTGGAGGAATTTGATAATAATTTGTTGTAATTATTATCAAATATAATATAATCAGAATGTAAAAATTTTTAAATTACTTCATTCGTAATTATTATTCTTATTATTTCTTCCTGAAATTTTTATCTTCTTTATGAGTTTCTCTAATATTTTTCCACTGAGTGTAAAATTTACTCTTTGCTTTATAACTTCTTTGTTAATTTCTAAATTTGTGTAGAACTGTAGTAAAATCCTCTGGTACTTACTATTCAATTGTCATTTTTATGTTTTGAGCTAGTCTTGCATTATAATAGTTAATATTTCTTGACTTTTTGTTATGTGCAGGACTCTGTTTTATGAGATTCTCAAATACTGAGTATTATCCTGATTAGATTTATACACAAACCAATGACATAGGCTCCACAATAATCTCCATTCTACATGAGAGGAAACTAAGTCACAGTGGGTTAAATAACTTATCCACAGTCAGAAAGCCAGGAAGAAGCAAAAAAAGGGCTTCACAGGAAATTTCACTCTATCTCTGTGTGCGATCAGAGTTTTCAAATAGAAAACTCAAGTTAAACGATTTTAAATGTTTTGTTCGATTTATTCGAATTTTATTCAAGTATGTACTATTTTTGTTGGAAACATATTCATTGTGTCATTGTCTCTTAGGTTTTGTGTTTAGGCAAGAGTATATTTACCACATATCAGGAACCATTGGTAAATTTGTTTGGGGAAATTATTTGGTGTTTAAATTTATAAAAAAATAATAATATTGAAATTTAGAGAAAGGATGGTCCTCAGAGTTTTGAGGTAGGGAGTCTAATCCCTGTAGATCTTTAACACACTGCTTAGAACTTGTTCATTCCCAGAACAAGTCCGTGCAAGGTGGGGCAACAGTCATCATGGAATGGAAAAGAGATTCCTTGGGACTTGTTCCAGAGCAAGAAAAACATACTAAAAAAAAAAAAAGCCTTATGACTCATCCAGTTCCTCAAAATGAGGATCTCTTTTCTTATACTCGACTTATACTTGAATCTTACAACTTGAAGTATCATATGCTCTACATCAAACCTCTGCCTGGAGAGTAACAATTCCTGCTAATTGGTTCTTTTTTTGGAATCTGGCCACACCCAGGGGATGTAGGAGTCTATCCTGGCTCATCATCTCTAATATTTTAGGAGTAGAGCCAATTTAGTGAGAGCTGTTCTGATTGTAATTTCTTGGCCCCCACCTTTCCCAAGCTCCAGGATGATGGTCCTGCAGGTCACTGGGACTCTCTGGATGGCACCTCTGATGATGTCCTTGGTGACATTGAGCTCTCCTTTGGCTCAGGGCAGAGACACCCCAGGTAAGTGCAGAGCTGCTGCTCTTGGAGGGCCCGGCTCAGGGAAATGACCCTGGGTGTTTTCCATGTGGGCCCATGTGGTTTTGGGGATCCGACATTGTCCCAGGGAGACAGAGAGAGAAGATCAGTGTGTGTGTGTCTGTTGGGCACAATGGTACCTGGGACGATTTTAGAGACACAAGGTTCTCACATAGGGGAGTCAAGATGACATTTCAGGTGTACAGCGTAATGATTCGATATTTGGATATATTGTAAAATGATCACCTTAATAAGTCTAATTAACATTCGTCACCATACATCATTAAAATATTTCTTGTGATGAGAACTGTTAAGACTTACTCTCTTAACAACACCTGAAACTAATATAATGTTGTATGTCAATTATGCCTCAAAAAAAAGGACAAAAACAAGAACAAAAAAATGCAAAAAAAAAAAAATGACATTTTAACATCAAAGATCAGAAAGGGAAATCTTTGGTCAGTCTGCAGTGTCCAGAATCCCGAGATCATACTATAAAATCCATGCTCAAGGTGGAGGTGCCTTCCACAGAACCAAGCAGGAACCCCATCCCATGACCAGTGATGGCCAGAGGAGCAGAGGAGGATAAAGAAGACAAGCTGTGGTAAGGCTGACAGTATACCTACTGCAGCTGACTGACCCTTATGTCAGGAACCAGATCAGGTCCTGAGCGAAAGTGAGAAACAGGAAATGGCCTCTTTTAGTTTCAATTTACCACAAAGCCCATGCATGATAGAACAGTGAAGTAGTTTATGTTAAAGTTCCCCAAACTCTTTGTCTCCACCCATAAAGCCAGCCTCACTCCTTGAGAATCAGGTTCTCTAAGACTCTTCCCCAATTTCCAAGGTTAATAGCATTTGAAACTCCCAAATTCATCTTCTCAAACTTCATCCCATTGTACTCATTTCTCAGAGGGAAAAGGAATATTTTCTGACATTTATCACTCAGATGAACAGAAAATTGGACAAAGTTAGTTCAGTTGTGGAGCTTGTGCCTGCAGATGAGAAAAAAAAATGGAGAAGTTTGAGTCTTAAAGAGCAGGAGTGGGCTATGGAAGTAGCTGGTAAGATGGAACAATGTCCAACATGTGGTGAAAGGAGAGATAGTACAAGATGAACACAGGAGAAGCTGTTCTGGGAGCAGGCATAGTGGTGCACATTGATATGAATTCATTAAAAATCACGGCTTGGGGCTCCTTTGGGGGGAATAGTGAGCAGCGTGGTGGGTGGAGGTGGAAGGGATGGGGTGAGGTGGAGAGGCCAATGGGTTCAGGTTAGTAAGAGGAATGAGATAAGTATTCTTCATCATGTGAGAGAGACAGCTAGGGGAAGGGAAGGGACAGGTCTAGAGCTCTTTGCACAGTTTTGATGCCGAGGAACTCATTTCTGAGTGAAACATGAGACCAGGGGCTGGGCTCCAATGGGTAGGGCAAATTCCTCCATTTCCTTCTCCTTCCAACTCCTCAGGGTTTCTTCAACTTCCAACAGAGCAGAAATGGGAAGAACAAAAGGGGAGAAGACGGCTTAACAGGCCTGGGTGAAGCTGAAATTATTGAGAAAATACTAGAGATTATTGGATCATAGGAAAATTGTGAAGAAAGGGAACAACTCATGGACACATCAGATCTGAAGCTCTAACAGCCTCTGGAAAAATCTCTTGTTCATGATATTCACTGCCCTAGTATTTAAACCCTGGGACTCTACCCTATCATGCCGCTTGAGCAGCAGCAGAAGCCTGGGGATTTAAATATTTGTTTACTTTGTTTCTATCTCCTTTTCTCAAATGAAAGAAGAGGTGGAAACAAAGAAACTATCTGCATTAAGTTTATAAAATCTGCTTTTCAAGCATTAAGGCTGTGCCCCAAGTGCAGCTCCTTTTGAGTCGTTCTGAACAAACTAGAGCTCTGTCCTTTGTGTCTCTGTTTGTCTCCACATAATTTAACCCATAGCAGCTTGACAAAGGGAAGGGCTCTAACCTCCAGTGAGCAAGGCCAGACACTAGGCTCTAAAATTTGTTTACATCATCTTATCTAATTTTAACAGTAGTCCTTCAAAGTAGAGAAGAAGGAGGAGGAGGAGGAGGAGGAGGAGGAGGAAGAGGAGGCAGACG